CACGAACCGCAGCAGCAGCCTTCTCCCCGGTGCCCTTCCACAGGGCAGGACCCGGGAGAGTCAGCCCCAGGAGCGGGCGGGCAGAAGGACCCCCTCAGGAAAGCACAAAAGCAGAAATAAGCACCACACTGAGCCTCCCGCGAGAGAGGAGGCGGTCAAGGTACTGCAAGGGTGTGGGGGGGGATAAACAGTATTTACAAATGGAGAATCGGATTAGAAAAATAACAATTGCTTTATTAGGAAGTTTAATTCAAACTACACGAGAAAGCTGAAGAAGAAGTACGTTTATTCCAGATTTCCACCCACCACAACACACTCGGCAAAACACAGAGTGACAACTCACTGAACGAGTGGGAAGAACAGGGAGGACATCGCTTGCCCCAGCCCAGCACACCCAGGACGGGGATGTTCTGCCCAGCGTCCTCTTCGCGTCCTTCCGTGCTTTTCCTCCTCACACAGAGACCTTGAGCTGCATTTCACTTCAAGGCCCGTGGTTATCGGAGCTCTCCAGCACCGTTTGTGGTGTCACACAGCACGATGCCAAGGGGTTTTGCTAGTAAAACAGTCTCAGCCCCTTCCTGCACGCGGTTGGGTTCCTCCTCCCTCGCAGCTCCAGCACGCCGGGCGGAGGCAATGCGGAGCGAGCACTCTGCGCGCAGAAGGTGCTGGCTTTTGTTGTTAGCAAACCCTGTTAACTGCCAGAGCCACTGTTCCCAACCGTCATCACAAACTTACAGCTTCCGCGTAACGGCCCTGCTTTTCACTGAAACTTCTCTCCTTCATCAAAGACTTTTCTTATCTCTACCGTATGCGTTCTGCTTTCCATTACCTGACTTTGCTCGACAATGAAGCTGAGTCCGGCCTTCCACGTTTACCAATGTATTCTCTGTTCTGGGGACAGAACAGCGCTTACATGCTCACCGAATCTTAAGACTAGCGAAGCTTCCAGCTTGAAAGCCCAGGAGATCCGTAACCTCTACCCACAGCAGCGGCGCGTCAGAGGCGACACCAACTTGGAGTTGCCGGTGTGGCAGGAGAAAGCATTAGCTAACAGTCTAGCGCAGAGGTGGCCTACCCGCCCTCGATACACGCTAACTTGTCATAGGAGTACTCAGGCTCCAACACAACTAGCTTAGTAACGCACTGCAGACTACATTTCCTCGCCTCTACCGAGCCCCCAAGAGATCATCTAACATCCCACCTTATTTCCTAGTCTAGACCGTGTTTTAGGGCAGCCCCTCCAAGAGGGAGGGCTGCTTCAGAGGCATCTGGATGGAAGCAGAGCCATCCACCCAGGTGCTCACGCAGAGCGGCTCACGTCGAGCTGGAGCGTGGGCACCGTCTCAGCATGACCTGTCACTGCGTCAGAGCGGATCGAGAGCCCGAGATCGTGCTCCTCGGGATCTGATGGTGAGGGATTTCACAAAATAGTCCAGTTCAAAAGAGAGAAAGCCGAGGAAATACAGACGCCCTTGAGAGCAAAGCCATGCCTGGTGCTTTGGTTTCTAACAGACACTTCCTATTTTGGCACTTCGGATGGAAGATGCACACAAAGGTTGTATGTGTTTCAGCGAACACTTTTTGTTTGATGAAGAAAAATACTTGCGTTGATTTGCTCCAGGCTAACATAAATATCGGAGATTGTTAAAATCTATGAATAGGGGCCAACGTTCACATCAGCTAACGCGGTCCTGGCGCGTTTGTCGGATTAGGCTCTTCCTGCTTGTGTCTCGGAGGCAGCGTGTCTCCAGGGACCAGCTCCCTTGGCAAAGCCGCCGCCGCCGCCAGCCTCAGCAGGACGCGACTCCCCGCAGTGCCACCTCACGCCCTCCCCTCCCGCGTGGGCAGGGGGCATTCCGGACAGCCCAGTTTATTCCCTCCTAAACCAAGCGCAGGAAGGCAAACCCAGCTTTCGTTTTGTGTTCGTCAGGCAAGCAGAAGGGCTCTCCGTCCCCGGCACCGCACTGGCAGAAAACGGGTAAGCTGTAGCTGACAGCAGGGTCTTCCTAGTGACAACTGGAAAGCTGCTGCTGTTCTACTGCTATTGATCTAAGCAGAATACAAAACACCTGAAGTCAGCAGGGAAAAATAGCTGCAGTTGGAAAAGAAACTGCAGGGGGGGAGCCGGGGGGGCGGGAGAGCAGGTAAGAAGTTCTCCATGCATAAAATTAAAGGCCGGGCTTTTTATTGCAGCTATCTTGCCTGACTACACTACTGGATCGATGCATAGAGCCGGAATACTGCCATCATTGTTTTTGCAATCTCTCATTTGACAAGAAACAAAAAGGTTTCACTCCCACTTCTGCCAGCGCCTTGCCACCGATGGCTCCCCTCTCCCGTTGTCAGCAGGGAAGCAGCTCTACCTCCCATCGGCCCAAAAACCTCCCCAGGACGACGATCTTTGCCTTGCTCGCTGCAGGTGCCAGCGCGTCACTCGCGCCCCGGAGACGCGGAGCCCTTCCCAGAGGGGAGCCCGCCTGCTCCAGGAACGAACACAGCCCAGACCGCGCGCCGGTTTGGGTTTGTCCAAGCGCACGCCACCATGGCTATAGCTGGAGCTCAGCCTGGAAGGGATTCGGTTACCTCCCCTTTCTACCCCGGCTCATCTCTGAGCCTGAAAGAAGCAGGCACCCAGCCAGCTCTTGTTCAGCAAGCGGCTTCCTTGGGAACCTTCCCTGTTGTGACAGCTCAAACATTACAGGGACTGCCAGAACCAAACCACTCAAGGAAGAGATCCCCTCCCCCTTCTGACATTGACAACCGAGGCAGCAGCAGGCAACACCGCGTGCAGGAGTCTATTTAAAATGTCACCGAGGCACAGGCTGATGGAGGACACCAAGGCGTCCTTCCCCCGCCCTGGAGGTGATGCTGGGGTGGGTTGCTTCGCGTTTTTGTTGTTCCTTTCCCGCGGTCTGCGCCTGCTGCAATCTGACAGCCTCTAATCGCTCAGCGTGAACCAGAAACGTCATTCTCATCTGTATTGATGATGGTGCCACTCACAAGCGCGAGAACAGACGCAGGCTCAGCCACCCACCCCAAAAGCAATGCCCCTAAGCCATCTCACCCCTCAGCTTTAACCTTCGGGTCTTTTCTGCTGCCCTGTCGCTTGAAAGCTGCATTTCCTCCTCGCTCCCCTCTCCAGTTGACACAGCCAATCCACGGGGCAACTTTTTACGTTTAAAGGGAAAGCCACCGGTTTGTCAGGGGCAAGGGGCACAAGGTGGAAGAGCCCAAAGAGCCGAGTGCAGGTCACCATGATTTCTCAGCTATGAAATCCGCGAAGAGGCCCACCTTCTCTCCTTGCCAGCCCCGGAGGGGTTCCCCATCAGTCTCGCCTCCCGCAGCAGCAAGGCCTGAACAAGCTACAAGGAGCCTAACGGGCAGAGGACCGAATTCCTCACTGCAGCAATGGCAGGCAGTTTTCTGACATCCTGCTCCCATTCTGCTCAGAGACAGGAACCATCTTGAGCCCTTTGCAGACTTGCTCCTGGCACTGCGAACAGTTACATCGGAGAAAAGTGAACTCGGCAGCAGGGCTGCGATTGTTCCTCTCCCCCCATCCCAGAGCACAGCGCTCCTCTCCCTCCTCGACCCAATTCCCTTACCCAAATTACAAATAAAACTCATTTTCTGGGTCCTTCTAGCCATTTCCACCCACGATTCAACCACTCTGCTTCCCCTTCCACGCTTCCTCTTTGTCCAACCATTCAGTCCAAGATCTGACCCAATTAGCTGATTGCCAATTCCGGCTATGGATGCACATTGCTTTGTTAGAGCAGAGCTGTCTTTTAAAGCAGTAATTTATATCAGACAGGATTTGAAATGAAGAGGCCTCAAAAGGCCTTCAGCTGAAAGGTGTCCAACGGGAATTTTAAAGAGAAGAGTTCAAATGGGTTCTGGAAATAGCAGACTGGTTTTCTAACTCCTGCTTAAGGCCTGGCATTCTGCAGCTTGGAGGGCAAGAAAGTATTTGGGAGGTTTTTGCAGCAGGAGCCCAGAGGGGAAAGCGAATTTGTGATATCCTTTAGCGAGGGATCATCTCTGGGTCTAAATGTTGATGTCCTACACACCACGCTGAGCGCGGGACACCTTAAGGTGCAGTAAAAGTGCGTTGTTTCTGACAGTGGAAACATCTCCGAAGGTCGGTCAGTAACATGGTGACTCAGGCAGGTGACCTTGGGTCTGCCCCGCAGCCTGAGTCACCAGGGCTCTGCTTCTCAGGGCAAGAGGCTATTTAAGAAGAGCTAAAAGGCAAGGACAGGCTGGTTTCCCTTCTCAGCTTTTTGTCCCCCCCGCCCACTCACCTCTAACTCTTGGGTTCAGCGGGGACCCAAAGAGGATTTTATCAATTTTACCCCCCACCCTGACAAAACAGGATTCAGAGAAACTAACTCCACCACAGCACCATTAATCTTTCTGTACGACATGTGCACCACTTCTCTCTTCCCCGGCAAGCCCCAGGCAGCCGTTCTCATCCTCACCCCAACGTTTGCAGCTTTAGCTCTAAACCAAGCCGGGGGTGGACTCTGCTCCGGAACAGAGCCCCGGCCCTCGCTCCACCGACAGATCCGAGCTCCCACACCTGGATAAACTAACACCAGCACTAACTCGGTAGCCGCCACAGCTCACAAGCCACGTTTCGGGCTCCCCAGCCCCGTTCCCGCTCAAGTTTACTGGGGCTGCTATTCTCCACGAAGCAGCGCTGTTGAACAGACAACATCCAGCCCAACCAGGCCACCCTCCACCCACCCTTGTCCACCTCCACAGAGGAGAAAGGCAGAACGAAGCCAGAACAATCCCCCAAACAAAATGACACCGAGAAAGAACTAGAACAAAGAATTGTTTAATTGCTTAACCCTTTCTCTTCCAGGGACCAGAGAAACAAGTTTTCTGCTCCTTCTAATGAGGGCAGTAAGGCTTGTGTGTTACCTCTACGACTGCAGGGGCAAAGTTTACGAGATGATCATCTTTAGTACTTGAAAAAGCGAGAAGCAATGGTCATTGCAACACTGAGAGAATCCTAGAGTCTCCTAACGGAGAGCCCGTTGCTAGAATACAAAAATAAAGGAGGCATCCCTGCATATCCCAGGCTAGAAAGAGTTAACCAGAAAGAGCAGGAAGAAGCTTTTCCAAAGAGGGGGCTGAAGTAAACAGCAGAGGTCAATAAAGCAACACCTTCTCCCTACCTCCCCAGCATGTTTTTTCCTTCACCAATAAATACAAATTCCTCATTAACAAGCGACAAAGCAGGTAATCTGCCCACAACAAGGGGGAAAGGGGTTAGAGGCAGAAAGATTTTTCTCTCTCCCCTTCTCTCCCATTATTATTTATCTTTTTTAACCAAAGCAGCCATTAAAAAAAAGCGATCCACTGCAGAGGCAGGGAATCTTGTAGCTTTCACACTGCAACTGGCAAGTAAAAGAGCCGCACTGTCTCACAAGGGTAAAACCAACAGAAAATAGCTGCCACAGCAAAAGGTGAACGGGGAGGGAGAGGTCTGTTATTTTCGGAGCTTTCCATCTCAGTCTCTCAGTTTAAAAAAAAAAAATCAAAGTCTGCAGACGTTTTCTACTGAAAGCTGGAAAAAAAAAGTTTGGGGGGGGGGAGAAAGGGGGGGGGGGAAAAGAGGATGCGTCTAGTAGGAAAGCCGTAAGCAAAAAAAGAAAAGGCCAGACCATGTCAAAAAGCCACCCGAGTGAGAAGAATTTTCTGTTGCCTCTGGGTTTTGAAGAGCATTGAGTGCCGGGGTACACTCGGGGCGGGGGAGCTTGTACACAACCAAACAGGTAAACTGAGCAAGCAGTCACATCTCCCGCGCTGGTACTGCCTGAAAACAAGCAAACACGCCCTCGGCAGCCAAGTGACAATCTGTCCCAGGAGAGCTCTGCTTCAGGAGGAGAAGATGGGAGGCGAGTCTGCCATCACAGCTCAGCAGAGCACAAGGGTAGCCAGTCGTTTCTGGGTGGTGAGGGGCGTGCTCCCACAAGACCGGGGTTCGCTAAGGCTCAGTTTCACCCACACGTGAAAGAGCAGATGGACACCTTTGTCTGAGGGGCAGAGATCAGACCCCAGATAGCCCCACCGCGATTGCAAGGGGGGCGCGGGGGATCTCTCTATGCAGGGAACAGTGTCCTTGGAGAGACGCTGCCAGCTACAAGCCTCTGTGACCTCTCTCCCTCCTGCACAAGGCTCACTCATCTCGTAAAGACTGTTCTGGAAGGGAGAGGAAGCCAGTTACCTTGATCAGCCGGCACTGCGCAGTCTCTCTCATCAACGCCTGGCAGCCAGAAGCAGCCAGAGAAGGAAAGGGAGGCCTCTCATCTTTCCACAGCAGGAACAGGAAGACCAGGGATTGCACCACATGGAAGAACAGCCCTAATGCAGCATACACACATGCGCACACACTCCCAGACACACATCTCACACCCCTGGGACCAAGGCTAGCATGTTCAGACCTTCAGCAGTAAGAGATACAAGACAGCGCAGAGCAGTTAAGATCTCCAGGGGCTCTTTGGTCTTAGTTGATAGTCCTAGAAAAAACAACCTCTTCGGATTCGGTTGTAGCAGAGCTGTGTAAGATCTATTTGATATTCAGTGTTTGGCAACTGCAAGAGGGAAAAACAGGGCTGCATGTTACACGAGAGGGGAAGGAATGGAAGTACAGTGCTGCATTTCTAGGTGTACTCCTGGCTTTGCAGCCAGAGTCAGTGTGTGGAGAGCGGGAAGAGGAAGGAGGGTTCCTGAGAGGACCACTAATCCATCAGATGTTACACCAACAATGAGGCAGAGAAGGCCCACCTTGGCCAAGACAGAGCAGCTGACTGCGCAAAAATGCTGCTGTCTAAAAGCTCGAAACTTTAGTTGCAACATATACACGGTGGCAACGTTCTCAGCTCCAGCACAGGTGACGTGGAGAGGAGAAGGTGAATACAGCTACACACATTTTGGGCAACGGAGAGAGAAGCTCTGGAAGAGTGCTGTTACCAGCTCCTTTCCTCAGTAGCTTTAGCTACGTGAGTCGTAGGCCTCTGATCAAACCTGCTCTCATTGCTGTCGCCTTTCTCCAAGGGTTCATAGGCCACGGAAGGAAGCATCAGAGCTGGGCAAGCGCATCCTGCCCTGCTGAGCTGCACGTACTCAGTGCCTTCACTGATTCATCAACTAAGACAGATGCCCAGGGACAAGACAGGTAATATCCAGTCCTTAATACAACACAGCTACATCTGGTGACAACGTGTTAGAGATGGAAGCCAGAAGAAAGATGTTATGGGACAAAACAGGTGTTTCATGGCCAACAATCCTAAACCAGGGGCCTCTAGCCAGGCTGGCAGCACAAAAGCAGAGTCAAACTTTCAAGACCAAGATCACCGCAGTAAATTCATTCCATAACCCCTGCCCTAGGTTTGTATTTTATTCAGGATTTTAACATCCCCTCTGCAAATGCATGAATGCAGGCAACATCCCCCTGTACCAGATCATACAGCAGCTCTGGAAAAAAAATCACCAGCTTACACTGCTTACAGACAACTGAAAGACCCCTGTTGGGACTAAATTCCACTAAAGGCAAACCCTGGACGCACTGCCATGCTGCTCAGTAGCGTGACGGGAGAAGGAGGAGGTGGTGGCGATGGTTTAAAGAGACGGCCGCTCCTGCCCCTGCCAGCTTGTCCTACTCTGTGCATAGTGCGAAACAGTGCAGTCATTCATCAGAGAAAGTTCAGGACCAAGGAAACTAGGTTCCCTTTCAGCCAAACAATTAGAGGAAGGAGAGGCAGTTCTGTTTTAGCTGGGCCGGCACTGGACTTGCCCCTCTGAGCTGTCTTCATCATCTGAGCCTCCAGCCCCACCACTGGTCAGTCCTGTAATCCGGTACCCCATGTTCAGCAACATCACCTCCAACGGGTCTGCATTCATTCGTCTCTGGTTAGCTTGGGAAGCACCTTCCATGTCCACGACCACGCGGCCATTAAGGGTTTCACTCTGCAAGACAAGAGGGGAGAGAACTCAGCAAGGCAGCGCTAGGACCAAAGAGGGGCTGCTACTGCTGCTGCTGCAACTCTCAAGAGGTCCCAGTAGGAAAGACCAGCGCGTGTTACATCTCACGACAACAAGACAGTCTTTTACTGCGGCTCTTACCTCTGGCCTAGGGTTCCACAGTCGTACAACTGGGTCAATGCCGCTGGTGGCCAGGAAGCAGTAACTGGGATGAGGCTGGAGACAATTCACAATCGACTCGTCTCCCTGCAGCACTCTGACGAGGTTGGTGGTTTCTTTCTCCCAGATGAAGAAGGAGCCGTCATCTGACCCACTGACTATGTACTGTGCATTGCTAGGATGAGAGGAGCAGAGACTGGAGATCACAGCTCAGAGCCAAAGCTAGTCTCTAGCAGACACGAGAATCTCAGTTGGCTTCTATAATCAGCAGGCTGCCACCCCTCATGCTTACGGATCCAGATAAAGCTTTCTGTGTTGGTTCCCTCCATCCCCAGGATTCATGTTTTCAATCCCAAATGGCTTTTCTGAAACGCTAGCCCAACCGGGTCCTCTGTGGATCTGCTACTGAACCAGCTATTCATGCAGCCACACAATGAGAAGGGTTTCTGTCATCTTTTTCAACCCTGCAAACCAGCGTCAGCGTCATTTTATGAACAGTCACATGGGGCTACGCATGAGGCTTTATCCGATGGAAGAGAGCATTCTGCTGCTGCTCACACTCCTGTCCTGCATCCCTATTACGCTCTGCCAACATACCTGCCAAAGAAATTGGCCTCTTTGATGTCTGTAGTAGTGTTACAGTGGCCACAATATCGGAATTTGTAGTCGTAGCTGCGCTCCCTCAGCACCATCTCATCCTCTGAGATGGAATCCTTGCGGCCTGTGGCTCGCAGCCGGATGGGGCCACCCCCTTTCTTGTCTTCAGCTGGAAAGACAACAGATTTCCCTCATCACAATTTGGGGAGGAACATGTTCTAAGCAAACAGCACTCTAGGAAACCCCAACAGCTTTAGAGAAGAGTTAAGGACAATTCCAGCAGGGAGCAGGGCTTAGAGCCCAAGCTTCCTTCCAGATTATCTCCCGGGTACATCAGACCCCTTTTATCATACTCTCGCTCAAGAGCAAACCAGGACCAGGCGCAAGGAAAGAACAGGCTCAGGCCGCTTTTTGTGCACAGTAACAACCAATCTCTCTCAGAAGTTGGAGCTTTACTGCAGAGGGGCAGTTTAAGATGAAAATTCCTTGTCCGATCATTAGGTTTTAGTACAACCTTGAAGAACCACGCTGGACACTGGCACTCACCGTTATCACTCTTGGAGAAGAGGGCTGCATTGATGTCTCTGTCTAGTGCATCGCAGGCACTGCTATGTGCTTGTTCTGGGAACTTCCCTTTAAAGTCATCCAGACACTCCAGTGCTTCCGCCACATACTTGAGTTCAAAGAGACAGCGGGCAAGACGGAAATGGGCCTTCAGGTGGCACGGATTCAAGGATATGGCCTTCAAGCAGTCCCTTAAAGCATCATAATGGTCCCCATCCCTGAAGAAAAGGGAGGGGTGGATTAGATAGCCCAAGCAGAAACAGCATACATTTTCCACTGCCATTCTGCAGCCCTCGTTTCACTCCAAAGCTTGTTGCTTCCAGCTCTCTCCGTGCAAGCAGACACCCCACAAGCTCACATACTAATAGCATTTGCTGTTTCCCAGGGGCACCATCTGACCAAGCCCAGCTTCTTGAATGCACCTCCACACGTACGCAGGCAGCCCTGTAATGTGACCACACAGGGAAGCCCAGCAAGTCTTGACCTGCCATTTTAAATCCGACAGAGCACAGCTCACTGATAGAACACATTTAGGGAAGTCCTTTGAAGATGGAGGATGCACAAGCCCTCTGGCCAAGCAGACACAAGGCCTCTCCTGCAAGGCAAGCAGGGCCTCGTCAGAGCACGGCAGCTCACGCGTGCCCCTTTGTGGACGCACAGCGTGGCAGCATGTTTCCCTGCCCACAGTCAGAGCCACTTGTAGCCCTCAAGAAGGAGCTACAGAACCACCACACTTCATAGCCCTGATGGACACATGTCTAAAGCAGCAGTCTTTTCCCACCTTTATAGGAAAAACCTTTAAGTTTTAGAAATAAGAGTTATAGCAGACTGGTATCATAATGGATATTTATATCCTATTTACAGTTAATGGAGACTACACTTGATTTCCCTAAGCTCCATGGCTGTGGGAGTAAGAATTGCCTCTGCTTGTGCTCTTGGAAGCAGGAGAGCCTTGATGAGCCTTGCATGCTGGTATTCAGTTCAGACTGACAGAGGTTGAGAAATCAGCCAGGGCCGACACGTCTGGTGTACCAGCATCGAGCCTAAACTGTTCAGAGGCACCAAAATCTGTCTTAAGAGAGTGCCAAGTCTCCATATGATGGCTAATACTAATAATAATAATGTTTCACACCTGTAACCTATGTGCACTGCACCTACCAAAGTCTGAAACAGTCCCAAGGGGAAGGGGGTGAATTGCCCTGTACCTCCCACAGGGCGACAATTTTAGATCGCGTGGAGCCTTTGTCAGGCAAGAGGTGCTCCTGTGTCTCCACTCATTAAAGGGAGCTCCAAATCTTTGGGTTACATGCCGAGTGGCGCTTATTCAGTGCCACAAGCATGTTCTGCAAACTATTCATCCTATTGCTCCCTCCCATCTAGGTGGATATTGGCCACATATTACAGCTTGCTAGCACAGTACAGAAGGTGGAGCGCCTTGTCCATGAGATCTGCAGCAGAGCAGAAGAAACATGGTTCTTGAGGGCTGTCTTTGCAGCACTGTGTCTGTGTTAATCCAGGAGGCTGGATGCACAGCATCAGGCCACTTTTGTTCAAAGAAAGAGGGAATGCAAGTTACCTGTTATGATGACAGATGGGTGTCTCGCATTTTCAGAGCTGACTGGGCTATTAGCTGCTTTGCCACCCTCAAAAATCCTTCAACATCAACTACCGGTGTCAGACAGCCCAACAGACTGGTGTGAAAATGTACACGTTGAGATGTAAAGCAGGCACTGACTTCTCCCATTGTTACAGGTTTGACTCAGCTTGTGCAAAAGTGCTCTCACTAGAAATCAGCTAAGTACCGTCAACGTAGACTGCTAAAAGCAACCTGGGGAGTGATGCAGTTGGCTCTTACGAGCAAATATTAAAAGGACAGCCTTAGAAGCGCGAGATGGGGGATGTGCAAGGGGAGGCTAGGAAATTACAGACCCTCCTTTTTTCTAGATCTCTGTTATTCAGAGAACGAGGCCAAAGCAAGATCTGCAGCGTCCTGCAGGGTGGCCTATAGCTGTTCCTGCTCCGAACGTGAAGGACACCTTAGAGACACACGGTGGTTCAGCGTGGGTCACTGTCCAACTGCTTCACCCTCCTTCTCAGTGACATCCCAGCCACCTTCTGCCATACACCAGTAGCTGTTCCTGGCAGAGAAGTGCCCCGCCTTTTCTGCACCTGAGAAGATACCAGCCCAGTACTATTTAAATTCTAATCATTGCATGCCACTGAAACCCATTGTGCATATATTTTCACATCTTCCTGCTACTGAAAACTGTAGCAAAGCACTAGCTGACACACGGAAAGGTTCAGATCTGCCAACATCCTTCGGGGAAAAAACAATTCCTATAAGAGAAATGTCATTCATGAGATCAGCACTCAGCTGCTGTCGTCCATTCCTTAATCTCAACCTATTGTTCTTCTCCCTCTGAACGCTGAGGTCTTTTTGAGGCAGCTCCCAAATCTCTCCTGTTGCAAAACAGCCAGTAGGCCAGTTACCAGCAGTTCACAACAACTGCTGGCTGCTCTTTATCTGGCAAGAAGATGAGAGAGTTCATACTGGGGATTTCAGCAGGGAGAGGAGAAGGCTATCCTCACAAAGCAAATGTAGATGAAGGACCACAGCTATTTTAAATATGTTAATGACAAGTCATGCTACTCAGTCTTACTCTGCTCAAGGGGACAGATACTAAAATAACTCAGCTGTATCTTGCAGATGCAGCTCTGGCTATTGGTCAGAGAAGACATTGCCTACTGCAGAGGCTAACAGCATTTTGCAACAGTTAAGACAGAACCTCCCCCAGACGCTGAGGCACCAGTTGCCACCTCCCCAGATCCCTCAGAGAGGTTTGTTTCCAGCCAAGGGGAGTGTGGGTTAGCTGGGGCAGCGCAGGAACCACCAGGTCACCTCTGACTATCCGCAGCGCTAGTTACTTGGATAAAGCAGCAACCAAAGCAACTCCAGGCAGCCCTACTGCAATCTTGTATCACGAGATAGGAAGTTATAAAGCATAGTAACCATTACCTCATCTGTTGACAGCAGATTTAGAGCCATACTCTAATACAGATCAGAACGATCCAAAGAAACACAAACACCCTTGGAGACACTCATAATGTTGTTACTCAGAAGAGGATTTTCAGTTTCTTTTTAAAACAGGAAAGGAACAGAACATTACTCAGCACGCCAGTAGGCAAAACGATGAGCTTTTACCAGCTGTGCTTGCCTGTGCAGTATCTGTGGCTGTCATTTCTCCAACACATGCTGCTGTGCAATCCCCTTGTGCTGTGCCAGAGCTGACCCACTTACGGCCTGATCCAATAACCCGAACCCTACTCCACACATAGGGAACCCAGGTGCTCCGCAGTGGACAGCGAGGTATCCGCGGTGCTGGGAAATGAGGCACCAGCACTGCCTGTGACACTAAACCCTCTGATATTCTCTGCTTCCTTACCACTTGCGCTTCATGTAGGCGGCAGCTCTGTTTCCATACAGCATGGCATTGTTGGGGGCTTTCTGGACTGCTTTGCTGTATAGCTGGATGGCTTGAGTCCACAGCTGGCAAGCAAAGGCCTCATTGGCTTGCTGCTTGATTCTCTCCAGATAGGGAGGTAACTCCACCTGGGGACTGAAGGGAGAGAAGAAAGGAGCACAGGTAAGCCTCACATGCTAATGCTCGGTTAACTCCAGTTAAATGGCTGCAGTGTTTTGTTCTAGCTTAGCAAGTCCCAGCAAGCATTAGCTAATACCAAAAGTTTCGGAAAAAGGCAGAAGAGACCATGTACCTGAATAACCTGAGTTTAGGAGGAAGGTTTCTTTTTGACCATCTTTTGACTGTTTCTATTTTTTCTTTATATACAGTCATCCACTCAAAATTGAGCAGTGTGTATTTAAGCATCTAATGCCTCAGATTTTACCAATACATCTTTGCTTTGACTACATAAACAACATTTCCTATCCTCTTTTAGCAATGTATAACAGAATGCAAATTCAGAAGGAAACCAAGCATCCGAGTTCCCTGGGCTGCACAAGGCCCATGCTCAGCAACCCAAAATTCCAGCCGCATCTCTGCTGCCGTGGTGGAGGGGCCATCTAGAGGAAACAAGCTGAAAACATTCAGCAAAGTGACTTTGGTGGAACCTAGACTACCCATATATGGTATTAAGCAACTGTGTCTTGACTTTTAACCATGTCTCATCAGCTGGAGGAAAAACAGTCAGCAAGATGTGCTTCAAGTCTGCTTCTGCTTCGCCCCAGCTGCATTTTGCTCTTAAAGAAAGCAAGCAGCAGGAACAATAGAAGAGGGCTCTCCATCCGTTCCTAGGCTCACATGCAGACCGCAGGAGTAATGACTCCAGTGCCATTGTCGTAAAACAATTTTGGCTGCTTCAGTTCAGTTTGCAGCAGGCAGGTGACCAAAAAAAATGGCAAAAGGAGGCAAGGCTCTTTTGACCTGACAGCCTCTCCTATCTACCAAGACACAGTTCCTGCAGGCCAGGAAGTAACAAGAACTCAGGACAAATAAGAACACCTTGCTTCCAGGCCTGAAAAGTCATTTCTTAGTTTTGTCTGCAGTAGTTCATCGTAAGAGGGGAAAAATCCTCATGGACATTTCTCCCAGGACGCTCTTGCCTGATATGACTCCTGTTCATAGCCCATGCATCAGAAGCAAATACAGCTCCTAGGACAGAGACCACTTGACAATCAAGCCAACACGTAAAAGTGGATTTGCACTTCACACCTTGTTTAGCAGCACCTAACCCTGGCAAGAGGAAGAGGACAAGAACAAAGCCACAGGGCTTTCACATAGGTAGATCTGTCCCCTTACCTCACATGTGTTCTTCCTTCGGACAAGCGGAAGCCATTGCTGTGGAGATGGATGCCATTCGACACTCCATTGGTAGAGGTTTTTCCATTCTGCACTCTGAAGGTTAGGAAGAAAAAAAAAAAAACCTATATATACAGCCATGCTAAGTATCAATGTAGATTATACAAACTAATATCTGAAGCTTCAGGGGTTTATTTTACAGCAGAGCCAAGCCAATGCCACAGCCCCATTCAGAGCAGAAATAAGACTTCCATGATTCCACATGGTCCCCCCACCTCCAGCCACCTGGCTTTGATTTGCCTTCTTACATTTACTACAAAATTTCTGCGGTCTCCTTCGCAATGCAACTCTAGAACAGAAAGCTAGATACACATAGAACTAAATATACACACAGAAAGAGAGGGCAGCTTGAACTGCCTTCAGACTGAGTCTAGGCCGTAATCAGAGTACCCGACTGATCACCAGAAGCCTGACATTTGAAACTGTAGAAGTATTTAGTAACATTAGCAACTTTGTATTTTAGATTCATTCAGATAAAGAATCATAGAGCCAAGTTGTTGAACATTTAATAGAACAAGGAGGATGAGGGGAACCACTGGAGGAATCCAGTAAAGGAATTCTAGATGCTTTCTTCCCTTCTTTCTTTTCTTGCCCTACTGCTCAAGGCGCAGTTCAAGCTGAAGTAATCCTCTGAAGGTCACGCAGCCATACCATCTGCCATTTCTATAGAAGATATTCAGCTTCAATTTTTACCAATTGCATTTATGTTGCAGCTGGGAGTGCTCCTGCGGCCATTTCACAGGTTGGAAAACTGGGGACACTGTCCAACCAGTCTACCGAACTGCTCGGAGACTTCCGTGTGCAGGGACATGCATGCACATGACATTCAGCCTTTGTACCGATACCGCCCTTTCACAGCCTTTGCCTGAACTTTATGTGCCCGACAGGGTGGAGCGTTTGCTGCAACCGCACCACTATGAGCCTGTTCAAACGCTGTCCTGCAGTTTAAAGCGTGACCTCACCAGATACCACAGTACAGAGCACCCACATGCATTCAAGACAGAAGAGAAAGGCAGGCAGGGCATATATTTGCTATCATGATGCGAGTGTTAGATTAAGGCCTAAGTCTAGCTGAGTACACAGATCAAACTCTGCCAGAGTGCTCTGAGAACAGGGAAGAGGCTGAGCAAGGAACATTCCCTGATAAGAGTCAGCCTCTGCCTGGGGAATGACGCTGTAGCCATTCACTGCGTACTGCCTGCGATATCTGTGTACGAACAGGCCCTGTAAGAAACAGGGCCAGGAATAAAAAGGCTTTTGGATTTACTTACTTGTCAAATAAATGACTTTTTGATTCAACTATCTCACCACCAGGAGGGATATTAGTGCCAGGCCAGATTCTTAGACTAGGGAAGAGATTGTTCTGTCTCCTAATGGGTGTACAAGGGGATAACAGATGTATTCTATGTTTTATTAGTAAGTTTTAAAAAAGAGAAACATTATACCATTTCCATGCCTGTCCACAAAGTTTTCCCCCTTAGTTGAGGGCAGGATACCAGGACCTCAACCACTCTACAAAGTCTACTTTATCCTTTATGTCCGGCTTTAAGCATTCTCCTTAGCTCACACAGGCATACACCTCTCAACAGCTCACTTCTCCCCTCAAGACACACGCTTTGTCACTCTGTAGAAGGGGTTCAGAACTCAGGGTATGAACTGCACTGCAGAAACAGCCCAGCAACAGCCACGTCCTACTTCATTTTCCTAGTTCCTGCCCAGATTGGGCTGCACCCTGAAAGAGAATTGTGTAGTACGTGATTTCACTCTGCCTTCCACTCACTTTCATGACAGCATCATACTTACCCCCTGAAGTATGGCACTTCTTTGGGAGGAGAAAAGTGTATGGTCGCTGTTTGTATGTTAGATCAAACAAATAGACCTAAGGAATGAACAAAGAGAATGAGACCGAAAAATCGTCAGTGAAACACAGATGCTCAAGTCACAGAAATAAAACAGGGCTAGACGGGTACACGGTGCCACATTTGTGTTTTGCTATTTCCAATTTTCTAACTAGGAATCTCGTTTATAGAGATGTACACACAGGATGATGGCAGTACCAGCGGCATGTTCCATTCCAGCATTGGGTTCAGAAAGAATAATGCTGAGAAATAGGAGCCTTGTCTTACTCAAGAGGTAAGAAAGTCCTCTCCACACCTAAAGAACTTAAAAGATGACCTGACCACGAACTAACCTGCTCAGAAAGCTTCAACTCTAAGATGTTTTAACTACTTTAATTAACACAGCCATCGTAAACAAATCAAACATTTATAGGCAGAAAAGAGGTGGTACGCTATACCAGGGCAAAAGTCTCTCTAAGCTGAAGCCAGGATTTCCTGAGAAACTTTGAAAGCAGCCCTGCAAAGCCCTAATTTAAAACTGTACTGGTATAGGAACTGACAGCCCAGATCAGACCTACAATTCATCTAACTCAGCACCTTCTCTTAAAGGGAATGAGTGCACATGTGAGAAAGAGACCTGTAGAGGACAACCACAAAGTAACCTGCGCACAGGCAAAGTTCCTGCTTAATCCATGCTGATTAATGCTGTCAGGAGGATTTTCTCATTTCACTGATAGGCTTTACAAAAGATCCATGAATATCACCCAGCGCTTAAAATTAAAGCAATCAATATTACAGGTGAAGGCCTTTGCTTCTGTAAGTTCCCTATTCACTAGGTTCTATTACAGAAGGAGTTTGATGTTTCAAGAATGAGTTATGAAATCTTTTCTAGGTCAGAGAGTGAAATGTGAATTGGAGAACCGGAACAGAATGCTGTTCAGGTGGCAGCACAACAAATAAATCCCTAATACCAAGCATTTAGTCTGAATGAATCAGAAAGCAGTTTAAAATCAATCATATTACCCACAGAGAAGTTGCTATACCCGTTTTGAAGAACGCGCAACAACGTATGGTGGCCCAACAAACACAACTGAACGTGAAGCTTTCTGCCAAACTTCAGCTGTCTTCTTACCTGCTCCCCTCCCATGTTGACTAAGAGCTCAGTGCCGTCAGGACTGAAGGTGACGTATGTGGCCACCAGAACTCTCAGCCGGTTGTTGTAGTCCGGGAGCTTCACTGGAAGGTGCCCTGTGGAGAGAAGAGGTCCATACATATTAGCGTAACTAGTAACCGTTGTCTTTGTCCTACCCCAGCTGCCCCCCCTTACAAGAGGTTGTTAGGAGAGCGACGTCACGAAGCGCACGCACCTAAGGGATTTTCCATTTCCTACTGCTGTTTATTGAACCCTTCCATCAGCCACCAAAACACACAGATGTGCATAGCTGCCTTTTCACAAGTTCTAGGCATCAATTCTGCAAGGCCATCTCCGTACGAGGAGAAGGCTGGATTGTAACTAGCTTGCTAACAATGAAGTCTGCAGAACCCAGCAAATCTCAGTTTTAGGGATTCACTACGGATTTGGCTTCTGTGCTTTGCAGCCATCTGCAAACAAATACCTCCATCTTCAACCCTCTAATCAGGTTTCCTAATAAAGCTCTTAGCACAACCAAACCGCGGCTCCTAAATATTCAGCTCACACACAGGTTCTTTTGCTTCAGACAGCAGATGCATTGCATGACCAATTCAGGGGACCTAAGAAATCCTCTAGTGGGACTCATCAGAAGCAAGACTGTCAAAACTGGTCTGCTGAACATGCTGGTCTAAGATACTTTAAAAAAACCAAACGTTTTGGGGAAAAAAGATAGTAAATAACAAGCACTGGAAAAGAATGTCATCTAGATTGCTCAGATACTGCATCGCTGATTCTTCATCTGCAGGATGAAGACAAGCCACTTCTCTTCTGTGCCAAAAAGATTTTGAACAGCAGCCTTGCTGGGATCAGTTCCAGGAGAAAGCCCATAGCGCCCAGGTTACCCAATCCTTGACTTTCCAATAGAAGTGACAAAAAGACATTTACACTGGACAAGAAGTGAGGCCAGCTCACCTCCACACACCACTGGCAACTCAGGGAAAGTGGGCAGGTAACATAAACAAGAATTCACAGCACAGAAGTGAAATAAACTGCAATTCCATGGAACATCCCTGTATTAGAGAAGAGCTCTTCCAATCAGTGGTTTCTCATGCGATGGGTAGAACTCTGATTCTTCAGGCATTAACTTAAAGTCCCATCAGTCACCCCCAGCACAGGTCCCAATACCTGCCACGTAGTACTGTGCCGCACCATCCGGGAGGGGTTTCTGCCTGTCGCAGAATGTGTGTACTCCAGCTGAAGGACTCTGCTTCATGCTTTTTCTAGCCAGAAAGAAGAAGAGTCTTATAATCACAGCATTCAACTGCTGGAAGCCTGATCTACCTCTTGTTCACACACACGAGGGCAAGGCCTCATGCCTATACAGCTGTGCAGTCAGAAACCTGCCTCACAGCACCCCGGTGTACTCACACAGATCAAAAAGACTGTGGGTGATAGAAAAGACTGGGTAAAACTGCACGGCGAGACAGGCGAGTGCCAGATGATTGCAACTCCCCTTTCCCACCAGAGCCTTGAACAGATTTCTGTACCGCTCACGTCTGCCCAGGAGGCCCAGAAAAGCCAGTTGCCATTACCTGTGGTTGTGGATCATGCGTATGTCATAGAGCCGCACAAAGGGTCCACTTGCCCCTACTGCTAAGTAGTTGTTATCTTGGGGGTTGACCGTCAGGCATTTGGCCTCCACCAGCTGCCCGCAGTACTCTGTCAGGTCTATCAGGACTTCTGAACGTTTGCTGTTCTCTCGCAGGTCGTACTGTCTGCAAAGGGAAGAGAGAGGCAATCCATGTCACTAGCTAACAGAGGCAGCAATAACAGAGAGGTTAGCTTTCCATGGTCACCAACCTGAGGACCACTCAAAGCAGCACATTTATACTGCTCAGCAGCGACCTATACTCAATTATACAGCTTGTGCATGAAGAGATGACAGTGACGACATTAACAGCCATTTGTGCCACAGGTTACTGGAAGCATCTCAGTTCAATATACACTAGGCCTCAATATCAGGATAACCATTAAATCCAGCTCTATAATGTGCACAGATTTATTCAAGTTCCAAATTAAACTCCAAGTCATGACCTCACAAACAGTAGCTCGTGTGAAAAGTGGAGCAGACTCTCGTAGTAACGTTACTCATTTAAGAGTCTCAGTGACTCTGGAGGGAAACGTTGCTCAGTGTTATATCTCCCTTCCATTTGACATGGCTGTTCCTTTCTTGGCCCCCCTTTTCAGTGGAGGAAAACAGGGGAGCTGAGGAGAGTATTTATCAGAGGAGTCTACATTTCAAGATGAATCTTTCCCATTTCAAGAAAGGGAGAGATTAGCTTAAACTCTTTAGTATAGAGACAGTCTCTCTTCAGATCTGTGCATAGTACATACTGCAACGGATCCTAATCCAATTAATTTTGGGGCAGAACAACTAGAGTTCTGTACCTGATTAGCCCGTCTTCTGCCGCACTCCAGAAGGTGTTAGGCCACATGGGAGCCGTGGCAATCCGTTTAACTCTGTTGGTGTGATCTCCAAACATGTGGATGGTCTCCTTGACAGTCAAGTCATGGACATGCACCTTGGAATCTGCAGCTCCCGTGATGAGGATCCGATCCCCTGAATGCGGCAAGAACTGTGGGAGACAGATTTGACATTCAAACTTGAGAAGTGCTGAGGCTGTTTCACATAGACACCGCTGAGCTGTCCCGGCAGGTCACAGAGCAGCTTGCTTTAGGAACACAGGATGGCCCACGTTATTACCTAGATTACACACACGCCAGTGTGTGCACTCAAGAGTCACCAGCTACAGCAGCACACAAAATAGTCTCTTCATCACACATCCCAATTTGCTACAACCATTTCCTTTGAATTTAGAGAGAACGAGATAAGCCTGGGAGCTGCATAAACTAAGAAGTGCAGGTATTACATTTAATGCAATTTCTTCCTAACATTAGAAATATTAAATTATTGGGGGGGAGGGGGAAATTACTTGCAGGAAAGTGTTTCCCAGCAAGGATCTATTCTCCTGCTGCTTAGGTTGCTGATTTTGCTAGCTGTTCATTCCTTCTAACCATATACCTTGACAGAAAAGATGTTTGCAGTGTGTCCCGTGTGCATAGAAAGGAGTTTCTTGTGGTGCAGAGGATCCCAGACAATGGTATGTTGGTCATCAGAGCCAGAGGCCAACAAGCTAAAAGAAACAGAAGAGAAGTATGCATCGTGTATTCTTCTGTTCTAAGCTGTGACCAATTTCTTAGAGTGGTTTGACCACAGACAGCCATTAAGTTAATTCAGCTAAGAAGCCCACTTCCTCTCTCTTTTCTCAGCTATGTGTTCTTGTTGCTCCCCATGCACCAATCCATTCAGCCAGTTCAGGGAGCTAAACCAGCCAAACATCAACTCCACAGAAAACAAAGCGAGTGTTTTTCGTTGGTTTAGCTCATTGAATCAGCTCACCACAGGTTCAGATGGCACAGGGGAAAACAATAGGAGCATTTGGTCAACAACAAAATGCAGGGCCTCCATTTTCCTTATTAGCCTGGCTGCATTAACTGCTCCTCATCATCCCCGAACCCAAGCCAAGGCATTCATTCCTGGACTTCGGATGTGCCCAAGCAGTCCCAAGCCAGGGCTCATTTAGTGATTCACAGACTGCTTTTTAAGTGTAGGGTGTGGCAGCGGTACTGCAAGGCGCTGTTTGCCTTCTACATCTATCTTCATTTGAAGCAAAAGAATTTGACATCTGCAACCATCAGCTGTTTTAAACTTATTTCCTTGTAGCCAGATCTCTTTCAATTACACGGAATTTTCACTGGTAAATAATTCTGAAGAGTATCAGACAGCAGACTTTGGATCTTGTGAGAGGCATGCCAAGAAATATACCCTCTTCCTTCCATCCAGCCATTTCTCATGCAGACACCCTTTATTCCACTTGGCTAACAGAAATGCTCTTATGTTTAGTTTCCCTCTAAAGTTGCAGAGAGGGGTAAATGCTCTACCTCCCTCCCTTATATATTTGTCACCCAGCAGAAGTTTTTAACAGCATGGTGAAGGGGGTGGGGAAATGTCACTACCAGCTGGGCGAATCCTAAAGATCCATTATAATCCATAATACCACCTAAGAGAAGCAGCTTTCAATCTCCACTTCTTAGTCTGACCATTTCCCTTCTGAACTCACTAAAGGGGCATTTCTAAGAATATCCAGACATATTTAACAAAATAAAGCTTCTTTTGAAGCATGAGCTCTACTACAGTTCAAAACTTTGAGCTTGAGCTTCACTTTACGAGGAACGGGAAGCAGCTGCTTACGATAAGATGACCTACATCCTACTCTTGGGAGAACCTGGGGTTATCAGTTTGTTGACCCCCTGAATCAAGCCACATACTTACTCTCCTTTTTCATTCCATTCTAGACAGTTGACACACCCAGAGTGACCCTGAGGGAACAAAAAAAAAAGGGAAGACGGTATTACACAAACTTCAGACTTATCAAACAGAGCTGTTCTAAGACAAGGACACAGCAAGCTCCCTGCACATAACAACTTGTTCCAATACAAGCAGGTTTTTTTTTTTATTCCAACCCTGCAAAAAACCACCCACATGGCAGATAAGCACCTCCAGAGAAGACAGACGTGCTATAGCAGTTGGGGTAGAAAAGGCAAAATGAAACAATAAAAATGTAGCGTTGATTAAAATGGCAGTTTAGTCTCAGAGGCTACAGATGAAATCCTGCTGTACACATGGAAAGGTGACTTTGCTTCAAAAGCTCTTGGCTAGGCTGACAAATTACATGTACAGGTTCACTGGGAACGCGGGGAAAATGCACTTTCGGTAACTCTTTTAGAAGCACCTTGCTGCTGGGTGACTAGATCATACATCTTCACCCAAATTAACTAACAACTGCACCAGGAAAGACTGAGAGAGCATTGAGCAGCGTTTGATATGGGAGATGCGATTGAAAAGGAGGACAAAAGAATCCCTCCTCCCCCAAACCAAGAGAATCTTAAGATCCTTTTAAGCTGTGTCAGACTGCAACACAACAACCTATTTTTTAGGCAACACATTACGCTCTTCAGCATTAGAGCTGAGTATCTTGAACAGTTGACAGTCGCCTTCTTCAGGCAACACTGCTAGGATTAGCCGATACCCACCCATTAAAGGCTCTCTCGTAGGTGCATTAGGTAATGCAGAAAGCTCACAGAAGATCTCACTGAGCTATTCCTGGCTCTAATGCAGTTTAGGGGACTAAGTAATCAGTATCTATCCCATACAAGAGAGAGAGTGCCATACACTCCTGCAGGCTGTCCTTTCTGCAGTAGGTTGTACAACAAGTAGCTCAGCTTGGTCTTTGAACACTGCCCACTTACCTGCAATTCTGCTTCTAGGCCCAGGCGTCGAATGAATGGATCGGTGACATGATAGTGTCGTTCGAAGCCCAGCGCACCCCTCTCCTGCATGAAGCAAACAAGCGCCACAGTGACTACAGCAAACAAAACACTCCTTTTTCCCTTTAAGAGAAGGTTCAAGAACTTTAAAAATCAAGCAGGGACCTTGCCAGGTATTGGGGTGTCCATAGCATCAGGTACCTGTCCTGTAGTAGGGAGACATCGTTTGCATTGTCTCCAGGTAGGCAGTTTGTAATCCTTGCTCCTGAATTGGTTTAAAATGATGTTTATCTAATTGCCAGGCTCCAGCTGGGCAGCCAAGACAAGGTTTGAGAGGCCCACTCCAAGACAGAGTAAGTTGCCTACTTTGGGCCAGAAACGGAAGATACAAAAGAGCTTGGGAATGCCTGTCATTATCCCTTGGCAAAGACTTCAGAAGCAACTCACTCCTGAGGACTGCAGTACTAGGCCACAGCTGCTCAGACGTCCGCCATTACACAGAATCGGTTGGACTCGGTGACAGGTCTTTTCCAACCTAAATGATTCCATGATTCTATGAATCTGTCCTGAAGCACCATCACCAAGGGGCAAAGTATTGGGGAATGTAACTGGACAGCATCCTTTGGAGATGGCTCATTTCATCGGAAATGGAGTAGGAGCATGTAGCTGCAGTACCACAGCACAGCCTGTTCTACAGGGAAGAGAACAGCTGCCACAGAACTGCGTCAGTACAAATGAAGGTGAAGAAAAGCAGGACAGTTGTTTCCCCTGTGATCTCACAGGGTTCACAGATGCATTAGCAGATGGCTTCGATGAAAGAAGGCCAATTGCAGAGGCAGGCATAAAGAAAAGGGAATGCAAGTCATATTTTGGACGGAACATCTAATGTCCGAGGAGATTCCTTCCTAGGACCCGATCCAGCCTCGGTCCCGTCCCATGCCATGCTATAGTCAGGCGAAGACAACTTAAGCCTTCGTTATCACCATTTATAGATGAGAACACCAAAGTCAAAAACTATACTTCTGGTACTAGGAACACGTCAGTAGTCACAGAGCAGACACAAAGAACTTGCATGCTACGTTACAGCCCTGCAGACCGACGTTAAGTAATGAACTCCACACAACAAAAGCTATTTGAAAACAAAATGGAGACAGATATGAGGGGATTGGAGGAAAAACAAAACAAAACAGGCTTTCTGTAGTAACTTTCATTACAAACTTCAAACCCCTTGACATATTTTTACAGATAGCATTCCCAAAACACTGCTGGGCCCAGTGCAAGGTGCTGCAGTTATAATTGCCTTGCTATGGCAACCTCAGTGGCTTTGTGAGGTCTGTGCAGTAGGATATTGCTTTTCCTACAAGGAACTGTCAGACTTAGCAACCTTCCCAAGGTCACACATGAAAGTCTAACAGAGCAGACAGTGTGAAAAAGTCCCAGGCTAACGCTCTAAACACAGAACCATCCCTTCCTTGTTAGAGCAGCAAAATAAATCTTTGCACATGGATTAAATTACAAGCTTATAATACAAAGTTTGGTTCCAAACTGCAAAGTGAAGTGAGCATTCAAGCCCCTAGTTCCTTATTCTGGCTGCTAACAGACCACTTTCGTGAATGCTGATTACCAGCAAAGCTGCAAATGATTTAAGGCCTCTGAGTCCAAGTAATAATTGCCTATTGTGTCTGCTGTAGTTAGTCCTTTCACGTTAAGAGATATTTCACAAATGCAGCCATCAGATGACTGATCTGACCACCGTAGAAGTTTCTCCCTACACAAAGGAAGCAAACACACCACTCTTTAAAGAAAAAGAGACAGAAAGAGACTGAGACAGAGATCATTAACTTCACTACAGTCAGAAAATACCTTTGATGGCAAGATCACACAAAGAGAACACATAAAGCAGCAGACAGAAAACCCATGAGGGAAGCTAGCTAAGGGTCCTTTATGGTGCCCAAACACAAGCAGCCAGATTTCTCTTTTCAACGTTGCTCTCAAAAGGAACAGACCTGCTGATGTCAAACTAGCATGGTGCACTCCTGCTAGGGAGAACAACTGTATTCCTGTTATGCCATACGTCATCCCAGCTCTTCATTAAGGACAGTGGTAAGTCCTATGTGTTTGTTCTCTTAAGCTTATTATACAGCTTATCAACACATAAGTAGCAGAGATCTTTGCAGAAGTAAAGGCAGCAACAGGAGTATTTCCCAATCCAGCGTGAACACTGATTCTCCATCTGCTCTCCGCCCAACACAAGCGAACGCTTGGCTAACACATACCTTGATCTGTCTGTGGACGATGTCTCTGGTAATGTTTGCTTTTGCCATCTTCTTGCAATGGGGCAGACGAAAAGAAGC